TCTAACTCATCTTCATGAACATCAAATAAAGGCTCATTTGGGAAAATGTTTTGGTATTTATACCAGTAAAGGAAATGAAAACAGTTACCACCCATACCTGCCTTCCTTCACCAAAATCGGTTAATGACTTTTGCTGTTATGATGGGGGAGAAACAAACACATCTTTCAAATAATGAATGCCCACCACTTTGGGAGGATACTGGAAAAAAAAAAAAACGCAACCTCAGAAGGCCACTAAAATCTACAGGCTCACCTAATTAGACTGTCACTTATCAGGGAGAAGAGCTCTCTTCCAGACAGCAAACATGTTCTGTGGCCCTTGGGTCAATCTATAGAACTACAAAGTAGACTTACTATGGGTTATTATAGAGCTGGAGGGCTGGGGACATCTGTCAAGTCACTTCATTCTAGAGATATGCCTTTGATTCTCAGAATCGTGTCCCCTTGAGTGTCACTGAATTATCAAATACAACCAGCAAATAAAAATTGCATACATTCAAGCTGGATGGCACATGCTTATAATCTCAGCCCTCAGGAGGCTGAGGCAGGTAGATCAACAGCCTGGCCAGCCTGAGCAAGACAGACAAACATGGAGGGAGGGAGGGAGGGAGGGAGGGAGGGAGGGAGGGAGGGAGGGAGGGAGGGAGGGAGGGAGGGAGGGAAGGAGGGAGGGAGGCAGGGAGGGAGGGAGGGAGGGAGGGTAGGAGGGAGGGAGGGAGGGAAGGAGGGAAGGAGGGTCACCTAGTCAAAGTATACACACTAGGAAACATGAAATAAACCCCACAATTAAATTAGCATATGTCTCGGATGTGTGTGTTTGTCTAAGCAAGGATATTGCTAAGGTTGCTCTTAGTTAATTTCTAGTAAACACTGCAGGGTTAATTATAGCCACTAATGAATACATCCCTGGAATTTGTCACTCTCATAACTGAAAGTCTGTGCCAAACATCTATTCTCCATAACTCCCAACATATCCACTCCGTCTTACACTTGATATTCATTCCCCCCCCCCCCCGCGCCACCCCTTCCAACCCTCCTACCCCCCCCTTCTTCGTGATGTTAGATACAGAACCTAAGGCCTCCAGCACTCGAGAGGCAGAGGCAGGCGGATCTCTGTGAGTTTAAGGCAGCCTGGTCCACAGAGCTAACTCCAGGACAGGCTCCAAAGCTACAGAGAAACCCTGTCTCAAAAAAAGAGAGAGAGAGAGAGAGAGAGAGAGAGAGAGAGAGAGAGAGAGAGAGAGAGAGAGAGAGAGAGAGAGAGAGAGAGAGAGAACTTAAGGCCTCACTCATAGTTCATAGTTGGCAGTCACGCTGCCACTGAGCTCACCTCCAATCCTCCCAGCTTTTATTCTTTTTGAGGGGAAGGTTCCTGTGGAAGCCTTAAGAGGGCACCCCTCAAGCTGGAATCATGGTGGTCAGAGGTCCAGGAGCACCCTCTAGGTGCTAAAGGACAATCTAAGAGCAGCAGGCACTTTTTAACCCCTGACTGAGCCCAGCTAAATCTTCATCTGCGGGGCTAGCCATGCCAACCCTCCAAATCAGATGATCTTCCTGGTCTGGGTGTAGCGCATGCCTCCTCTTAAAACAGAGGCTTCAAAGTGAGTTTGGAGTGCTCTACTGCCCCCACCGCCTCCAAATTCAACAATACCTTCTAGAACCTCATGTGAAATGCTTCAAACACTTTAAAAGGAAGCTCAGATGAGTGCCAGGTGAGGAACCATTCTTCAGTCTCTCCTTCACGGCCTCCATGTCCAAGCTGTCTCATTGTGTCCTCAATCCTCAACAGTAACTTCTTCCCTCTATGTGACTAAGACCTCAGGACAAGACACTGGCTGGCGACAGTGCCAAGTCACCTCCCCTCTCCCAGCACTACCAGTGCTAAACACTTGGCAGCCACTTCAAGGTCAGCTTCCTAGACAGACTTTTTTTTTTTTTTAAGATAGGGTCTCACTGACCTGGAACTCACTATGGAGACCAGGCTGGCTTCAAACCCACAGAGACTCACTTGCCTCTGCCCTGGATTTAAGGCATGTGCCACTATATTCACGTGCACCACTATGTTTGCTTAACAAGACAACAGGTCATTACCATCTGCCACCCTGACTGCTTGCCTGATTAACCTCGCCCAGGCACTAATAGGTATGAGCACACCAACAACTTCTGTAGGTCAGCGGTCAAACATCTATCCTACGTGTTCACGGTAAGATTCTGTTTATGGGACTGCTGACCATCTTAAAGACCGGCAGGGTTCAAATGTTTATGTAGAACATGTAGGACACTCCCTTCAGTCTCAGGTTCTCTGAATACCTAACTGCAGACCGCTGGGTGGGCCAGCAAAGGGATAATGACCACAGGAATGGAGGAGGCTCAGGCCACCTGCATCCTGGCCTCCCTCCCAGCCTCCCCAAAGACAACTGCTTCAAAGTCATCTCAGCTGCAGGGACCTAAGGCAGTATTTCTTCATGAAGAGCTCACAGCCCCTGAGGGTCAGTCACAAGTCAAGGTGTATAGAAAAGCCTAAATTCAAGAAATGCCAGCCTGACTTCATGCCTGGATGGAATCTACTTTGGCAGACTCCCAAAGAAAAGGCAAATAACATATGTATGGACGTCGCTTGTCCCTTTTGCCTGGAAATCTCGTAAAATGGTTAGGCAAATATCTCAATCCTGCTTCAAACTTATTGGCTATACACTCCTATAGATCCTGAGGACATAGCAAATCTCAAGGCTATTAACCTGACCTTTGTCTCCCAGCCGGTCCCTGGTGCATGTAGGAAAATTCAAAAGTTAGATGGATTTCCAAGGAAGAACAGGCCAGAGTCATTAGAAATAGCCCAAAAGGTATGCAACAGCCTAAATAGTAAGGAAAGGCTGGGTGGCCAGCTGTGGTGGTGCTCACCTTTAGTCCCAGCACTAGGAAGGCAGAGGCAGGCGGATCTTTGTGTAGCCCTGGCTGTCCCGAAACTCACTCTGTAGACCTTCCAACTCCATATTCAATTGGGGGTCTAGGTAATGAGAAACTCTGAAGCAAATGGGTCAAGCTTCTGCACTTTGGCAGAGGTGGCTTGGAAGGAAAGGCCCTTGAAAGAAGAGCCAGCTGTTTAGCTCAAGAACAGGCTTGTTGGCTTTGGCAGAAATGAGCTAGACTTTCCTCAAGCTATGGGCTGTGTACCCCACAAAAAACCCTGACAAGGGCCAGCTGGCTTTGGGGACGTCATGGTTTGCCAAACCTTAACACTTCCCAGCCCACAGTGGGAAGTGGATCTTCATACAGTCCTGTTGGCTACTGCTACTCAGCTAACCTGTCCATCCAAGAAAAAAAAGGGGCAAAAAAAGGTTTCTCTGAGCCTTTAGGCCTGCCTCAGTACCTATACATAAAAAAAAAAAAAAAGATTCACGCCTCACCTGTAAGGACTCAACTGTCTTCGAAGTTTGTGCTTAAACACAAAGTTCTGTAAAAAGACAAAAGGTTCAAGAGCGTGAGCTGGAAGAGGCCAGGAAAGGACTGAGAACTCCAGTAAAGGGAGGCCAGAAGCCTGCAGAGAACTTTTCCTTGGGCCATTTCTAATAAAGGGGGAACGCCTTCCCCCTCTACCTGGTTGCTCGTTCTTGCTGAGTCTAGGGACACAGTGAGACAGTGCATAACAGACATGCGCTCAAGGAGTGGGACTTTGGTGCTGCGTTCTGAAAACACAAGAGGCACAAACTAGACATTCATCTACAAGATCCCTTCATCGGTGCCTTGGTTCTGGGATCTGGCTGTGCTCCCTGGTGTAGGGACAGCTGCCTGAGAAAAAAAGCATGTGGCCTGGCCGCGCCTGCAGTAGCCCAAGGTTCAGCTCAGCGCCAGGAACTCTCCTGTTTTTGAGTTGTAAGAGGAGAAGCTTGGGGGGAGGAGACCAGGGAAGGGAGAAGCGCAAAATGGGTGGGAGCAGCGCAAGAATGGGAGGGAAATAGTGAGCCACGCGCATTTCATCATGCAAACGGGCGTGTAGGTTTCATCAGCGCCTATACTAGGGCTCCAGGGCAAGCTGGGAATGCCTGGTTCCTGGAGGCCGGCCCCCCTCCCGCGCCAACTCAGCTTCCTCTTCCTCATCCTCCGCCACTTGGGAGAATTCAGCGCTGTGCCCTCCCCCCAGACCCGAGGAACGTGTTGTTCTGCACAGCCCTGGACGCGGCGCCAGGCCCCTGCCTGGAGACCTCCCTCTCTAAATCGGCTTCATGCCACAGGTGGCCCGAGACGTGCTCCTGGCGCAGAGAGCACCCTCAACGCCCAGCCTCCATTAATGAGCGAGTGTCCCAACCCGGGAAGGTAAAAAGTGTGCAGGCGTCCTTTATTCCAAGAGAGATCAACTAAACTTCATCTCCAGGCCTGGCCCTTTTTTCCCTGCTCCACCCAGACCCCCATCCTGTCCCACCCTAGAACTGTCCTGACACCCACAGAGGCCGCACTTGAGCACATGGTGATCCTGGCAGAGTGCCTATCTGTGTGCTTGGGGCACTCCGGGTCTCTCCCAGGAAAAAGCTAAGGCGGGTAGTTTGCAGCCCGGTCCACAGACCACGCTCCACCACACCCAGCAGGCAGGCAACCGAGACGGTGACCCTCCAGCCTTCCCGACGCCCCCGTCTGTTCTGTCCAGCTACGAAACCCTGGAGCGCCGCCACCCCCGTCGTACGTGCGACTCCCGATCCCGGCGTGTCCTCCTGCCCTGGAGGTCGCAAGGGACCCCGGCCCGCGCCTACCTCCCGGGGTGGTGCTGAAGAGCGTGCCGCCTGGGGTGGTGCTGTAGTCCCCGGGCGGGAGTTGCACGCCGTCGCCGAGGGCTACCCGGCGAGTGGGGATGGCCCGGCTGGGAGTCTGGCTGCAGCTGCTGCCCCCAGACATGTCTCCTACGTGCCGCCCACGACCCTCCAGCAGCCCCGCGCCACCTCGGCCCAGCCCTTCTCGTGCCCGGCCCGCCCCTTCCGCCTGGGCTCCACGCCCCCTGAGACTTGAGGTCCGCCGGGCCCCACCCAGCTCCAGCCCGCTGCCTGCGAGTGGTTCCCAGCTGCTGACCTAGCGGCTTCTGCCCTCTCCAGTGCGGGAACCCCGGTGTTGGCCCCTTAGGTTCCGGGGTCCCTCCCCGACGCACTGGGAAGAACTATATAGGGGTGACGGTGGAGAAGCTCTCCGATTTGGTGGCCGCGTTTTCGGAGCACTAGACGGCCTGCTTTCTGTATTAGGATGTGATTCCTCGATCCCCAGCCGGTCGTACTAGAAGAAAGTAAGGGTGGGCTGATCCTTCACCCCTCTTAACGTTTCTTTCGTTTCCACCGTGCAGTAGGAGTCAGAGCAGTGGCTGAACAATGCACATTCCTGGCCTTGAAAGGAGCGGTGGAAGAGGAAGAGGGAACTAGCCAGCCAGCTGGGACCTGAATGTAAATCTGATGTGGAATGGGCAAGATCGGACCTCTGTAGAGGATGGGCTGGTCAAAGACGTCTCCCCAACAGTCCTCGAATTGGAGTCTACTCCTGCACTTTGGTAGGGAGGGGCGGGAAGAGGCAAGGAGGACCGTCATGTATAATAGGATAGAGAATCTGTCAGTCTCCGTGTGGTAGGGAATGCCTGTGATTCCAGCACTGGGGAGGCTGAAGCCTTAGAAGAATCACGAGTTACAGGACAGCCCAGGCTTCTTAGTGGGACTACACCTCCACAAAGCAAAGCACGCAATCAATAACAACCACAAAACAGCGGAAAACTGAAGTTCAGAAAAGGACAGGGTTCTGCACGAGATCACACAGCCGACGAATAAATGCCTGAGGTCACACTGTTGAATGTATCCCAGCCTTCACCGGAGTCCGGACTAGCCTGTCTCTCTCCACACTTAAGAACACACTGGGCCACCTTCCTCCCTTTGAAAGGAGTTTTGCTTTTGACTTGTTTGGTTGCAATGGAGGCCCTAGATTTCCCAGAACTAAGATTCCAGGGAAGGCCTGCTTACAAAGCTCAACACTGAAGCTAGGTACGGTGCCACACACTTGTCCCAGCAACTGGGAGGGTTCTAGCCTACGATACACAGCAAGACCCTGTCTCAAACCAAACAGAAAGCTGGGCGTCTAGCTCACATAATCCTAGTACAGGAGAATCTGAGACAAAAGGAAGACCACAAACCTGAGAGCAGGCAAGGTTACAGTAAGTTTGAGGCTCAGCCTGGGCCAGACCATGTGAGACCCTATCTCAAAAAGCGAGAGAAAGAAAGGGGGGACTTGGAATGCAGCCCAGCTGGTAGACAGCTCACCTAGTATGTACTAAGTTCTGGGTTAAATCACAAGCATCACATAAAACCTGGATGTGGAGGGACTTTGTAAGCTTGTGATCCCAGTACTCAGGAATTGGAGCTAGGAGGAGCAGATGTTCAAGGCCATCCTCAGCTATGGATCTCTAGATAAGACCTAGTCTCGATTTTAAAAAGGAATAGGGAGGAAGAAAGTCTAACTGCTACAAAGGAACTGAAAGACTGGACATATCTAAGCTTGGGACCTCTTGGATCCTCATCAGAAGCCCTACTATATTCCTTGCAAAAAGATAGTTACTGTGGTGGATTGAATAAGAATGGCCCCATGGGCTCATATATAAAGATTAGTCATCAGGGAGGGGGAATACTTGAAAAGGATTAGGAGGTGTGGCCTTGTTGGAGGAAGTGTGTCACTGGGGGTGGGCTTTGAGACCCAAGTCAGGCCCAGTGTCTCTCTCTCTCTCCCTCTCTCTTCCTGCTGCCTGTGGATCCAGATGTAGAACTCTCAGCTCCTCTCCAGCACCATGTCTGCCTGCATGCCACCATGCTTCCTGCCACAATAATAATGGACTAAACCTCTGAAAGAGTAAGCGAGCCTCAATGGAATGCTTTCTGTTGTAGGAGTTGCCGTGGTCTTGGTGTCTCTTCGCAGCAATAGAACACTGGCTGAGATAGCCACCCCTAAGGAGAAGGCACTTGGGTAGGTTCAGGAGATAAAGATGATTGCCAAGAAGCCTACAACCACAGCTAAGAGGGCCCCGGGCCTGAGGTAAGGGCCATATCCCAGCCTTGGTAGTTCCATTAAGTAGCTCTCCAGTCTCCAGCAAGCTTCCCCACTGGACCTCGTGACCTCCAAGGATACTGAGCATGGCCATTTTATAGTCTAAGTTCCCTGCTGAATTCTGTTTCTTGTAGCCCCATTTGCCTATGGTGGTTTCTGCCTCTTTCAGAGCATGAACTCATTCATATCATATCTTTTAATTGACTATAAAAAGATTTAAAGGTTGAGATGACCCAGCTGATAAAGGCACTTGTTGCCAAATCTAACAACCTGAATTCCATCCCTAGAACCTACATGGCGGAAGGAGAGGACAAATTCCCACAAAATGACCCTTTCCCCCTACATGAGCCCTATAACATGTGTTGACATGCTCCCATATGTACATACACAATATAAATAAGTTTCAATGAAAATTTAGCCAGGCAGTGGTGGTGCACACTTTTAATCCCAGCATCCAGGCAGGTGGATTTCTGTGAGTTCAAAGCCAGCCTGGTCTACAAAGGTTCTCCCAGTACTCAAGAGGTAAAAGCAGGAAGATCAGGAGTTTAAGGTCATCCTGGGCTACAATATATAACACAGGTCGAGTGCAGCCTAGGCCATATGACCCTGTCTAACAGGGGAGTTTGGGGGAGAAAGACCCCCTCACAGATGTGATCAAGCCATCACTTCTCACATCAGATGTGAAAGTGAGGATTTCTCACAAAAGTCAAGCAATCCTACTGCACAGACTTTCCAGGATATATTCTGACACTGCCTCCTCCCTAGAGACATATAAGACCCACCAACTTGGGGTTGTAGTCACAGATTTCAGATTCCAGTCACAAGAGGAGACTGTCCTGTGTGTTCTGGAGTGCTGGTTATTGGTTGAATTTCCCACAGCCCTGCTCCTTCGGCTTGAATAATCGGCCATAGCAGTTCCTAGAACTCTGAGAAGAGGCCCAGTTTCACTCCCTGGTTTATTATGAAGAACATTACAACTCTGTGGCGGACAGGCAGACTGGAAGATGCACAGGGTCAGGCGTGGGAGAAATATTCCCACCTTCCTGGTGTTGTGTTAACACTTCACCTACAGTTGAAACAGTCCCTGCTAGACGGAGAAGGGAGGCACATGTAACTCAGAAAATAAATTAAACTTACTGGACTCAGGAGGTCTCCAAAGACTAAGTAAAGAAAGTCACAAGACAAAGGCGGCCCCTCCCTCAAGCCTACCTGGGCAGTAAGCAGTTGCTTGGGAGAGGGAGGACTCTGGTAGAGCAGCCTGCAGGTTATTCAGGGAACTCAAGGGATGAAACCTTCATGAGTCATCATGCTGAGATGGACTTTTCGGTGATACACTTGCCTTTGAGTCATCCTTGCTCCTGTAAGTGACCTTAAGAAACCCATTGCTTTGTCACGCTCCATGTAGGTGGAATCTTTTCTTTGACCGGCCATTTGTAAATAGATTTTCACATCTCCCCAGGAAGTCACATAGCATCTGGGCATGCCACAGACATGTTCAGTTACCAGGATTCTCCTTCCCCTCCCTTCTTTCCTTTCAGGACGTCGTGGAGACTTCCTTACACTGGCATCATTGGTTGTAGTGTAGGCCATTGATAATAAATAAATAATAAATAAGCCTCTGGCCATTGTCCCTTTCCTGCAAGTTGAAGATGGAGCTGGAAGTCTCAGTTTTCTGATGATATCAGAGTCTTTAGAGTGACCACATCGTAAAGCTATCTAGGGACATCCCCTGACTGAACTAATAGTGGTTTTATTTTTAATTTGTATATAGACATATAATACGTTTTTGATCAAATCCACTGCTAGCCCCTCCCCCTCTAAGTCTCTCATGACCCACCACCACTTTCCCTCCCAAATTTCTGAATTCCTTCTTAAACCCACAGAATACTGCCAGTGTGTGCATAGGTCTGTCATCCCAGAAAATGCTGTTTCTCAGAAGTTGTCCCTACCCCTGGCTCTCTCCATCTTTCCACCCTCTCTCCATGATGATCCCTGGGTCTCAGGGGAAAACACTCTGCATTCTCTATCACCTGTCTGTCTGTCTGTCTGTCTGTGTAATCTTTATGTTGTTGTTGTTGTTGAGATAAAGTCTCACTATGCAGCCTTAGCTGGACTGGAGCTCACTTTGTAGACCAGGTTGACCTTGAACACATGGAGACCTACCCGATTCTGCCCCTGGAGTTCTGAGATTAAAAATATGCACCTCCATACCTGGGCCACAATATCTGTCTCTCTCCCCCACCCCCACCCCCACCCCCCATCCCCCATGTCTCACCCCCTGTTTTTTGCTTGTTTGTTTGTTTGTCAAGACAGGGTTTCAATGTTTAGCTCTGGCTGTCCTGGAACTCGCTCCTGAGGTCATCATACCTCTCAACATTATCATTAAGACTTGAGCAAGTGGATTTGAAGATTCAGTTCTCCACAGGAGATGAGAATGAGTTCCTTCTCTGGGTAATGACACCAGTCCCCTGCCCGGGACCCCGGTAAGGCTCCAGTGTGACCGTCATTGTCTTCCCTTCCTCCCAGTCACACTGAATCTCAGCATTCATCCTTCCAACTCCATATCATCTAGCATAACCAACACTGTTGGTAATGGCATAGATCTCCAAGCTGATGCTAAAGTGTTAATTCCGTGAGTTTATAGACAGAAAGGTCCTGGGTTCAAATCCACTCTCTATTTCTGTGGACTTCATAAATCACTTTGGGGGGAAAAGGGAGGGGGTGACTCGAGTTGCCGGTATAAAAGAGTAGCCCGTGTGGGGACGTGGTAGACTTAGCGGGACTGTAAAAAGTTGTTTAGAAGCCTGCCTCCCGGTTCTTGGACAGCTGCCTGAACCCAGACATCCCCCTTATCTAAGCCATAAAATAAGGCAAAAGGAGACATGCATTACATGTGGAAGTGTCCTGGGGGCCTTGTCCATCTAGAAGATAGCTTGGTCTCTAAGCCCTGGGTCAGAGGTTAGCAAGCACGTATGCATGAGAAACCCTGTGAGTAAATCAAAGGAAAGAAAGGCCTGGGGTGTGGTCCGAAGGGGCTTGGCTGGAAATTGCTTTTCTGAAGCCCTGGTTGGAGCGTGGAAAGTGCAGGAGGAACCCAAGAGGCCACTATCAAAGGAGTGATGCCCCAGGGGTGCTATGTAGTCCTTCAGCTCCTGAGCCAGGGCGCCCTCTAGTGCCTTCCTGATTGTCTACATTTTTGCTTTGTTTAACCTGTCTTATATAGACCTAGGCTGGCCTTGAACTCATTCTGACGCAGGGAGGATGACCTGGAACTCCTGATCTTCCTGCCTCCACCTCCTAAGTGTTGGGATTACAGGTGTGCACCACCACTCCAAGCCAAAGGAAATTTCTTCTCAATAAAATCAACTCAGGACTTGAAGCGATGGGTCGGTCAGTGGTTAAGAGCACTTGATATTCTTGCTGAGGACTCTGGTTCAGTTTCCAGGACCCACAGGGAGGCTCACAACCATCCTGAACTCCAGTTCCAGGGAGTCCCACACTCTTGTCTGGCCTTCAAGGCACACATGTAACTACACAGGAATTCATGTGGGCAGAGGATACATGCACATAAAAATAGAAACTAATGAAATAATAGGCAAAAACATTTCTGAAAATACCAGTAGGAGAGGTGCCTAATGTCCCTAGTTATCCTCCAGTCTAGTTTCTCCTCCCAGTGCCCAGCAGTCAGGTGCACCAGCCTTAAGGTTACCTCTTCCTTGGCAGATCTAGTTGCCAAAGCCTTGTCCTCCTGCCCTGTGGCTCTGAGTTAGTAGTACTGCCTTTGCCCCCTGTCCTTCCTAGTTTTCCCTTTGGCTTAGAAAGGACGTTGGGGAATCTTCCTAAGCAGGCATTGCACAAGGGCAAGCATCTTATTTCTGATGGGCGAGAGGGAACACCAGGGCAACTGTCTGACAAACTGAATAACATCTCTTCTTAAGCCACTGGCATGAGAGTTAGCAGCAAAGAAAGCTAGACCGAGCATCCTGGATGATGATAGGTTCCCTCCGTTTCTGACCTTGGATCCCACCCACAAGCCTCCCTGCCTTCCCAAATGAAGGGGGTTTCGGGATCCAATAAATATGGCAGTACGGAACCTGTAGCTCAGCCACCGCCTTTGTGAGAGTTGGTGGACAACTTGCCTTGGTCATGGTGCCTCTTCACAACAACAGAACAGTGACTAAGACTGTATACTCACCACAAAATATAAGAAACAGACAGAGTAAGGGTCAGAATATGCTAGGAATTAGCTAGCATTTTCATATCTTTGTAGGGTTAGGGAGCCTGTTTCCAAATAGCCAATTCCACATGGGTAGGAACCTTGTCTTTTCTAAGAAATTTACTTGATATAATTTTAAGATATTTATAGTATGTTGTGGGATAAACATCCCAGGATTCTTAATTAGCATGAGCTACCATTTATTGAAATGAGAATTTTTAAGCATTCATTGTAGTAGAAATGGGTTTTTAATGATTAAAACATTCTCTTACCATGTGTCTTAGTTAGGGTTTCTATTGCTGTAAAAAGATGCCATGACACCAACTCTTATAAAGGAAAGCATTTAATTGGGATGGCTTACATTCTCAGAGGTTTAGCCTATTATCATCATGATGCTGGGACATGGTGGCATGCAGGCAGCTTTGGTGCTAGAGAAGAAGCTGAGAGTCCTACATCTTGACTCTAAGGCAACAGGAAATAGTTTGTCCCACTGTGTGTGACTTGAGCATGTATGAGATCTCAAAGCCCACCTCCACAGTGACACACTTCCTCCAACAACAAGACCACACCTACTCCAACAAGGCCACACCACCTAATGGTGCCACTCCCTTTGGGGGCCATTTTCTTTCAAACCACCACACAATAGAATGCTGATTAGTTATGACTTGAATGCTACTGCAAATGGTAGAAACATTTGTGCTTTTCAGGCTTTTACTAGAATTTTTTCTTCTTCAGATATCATCTGACTGTGGTTTGGATCTTAACTATTCCCCAGAGTGCTACATGTTAAAGATTTGGTGCCCAGTCTATGGCATTATTGGGGAGTTGTGGGACCTTTAAGAGGTGGAGTCTAATAGGAGGTTCTAGGTCCCTAGGGGCATGCCCTTGTAAGGATCCAGCTTGTTCATCCTTTCCACCCTATCTTAGGTTCTGTTGCTGTGATAAACACTCTAACCAAAATCAACTTGGGAAGGAAAGGGTTTGCTATCTCTTACAAGTTAGAACTCAAGCAGAAACCCTGACATCAGGAATTGAAGCAGAGGCTATGGGATGCTTGCAGTCTTGCTCTCAGGATAATGTTCAGCTACTTTTCTTACACCTCCTAAGTCAGGGGTTCTCAACCTGTGGGTCACGACCCCTCTAAGAATCGAACAACCCTTCACAGGGGCTGCATATCAGATATTCTGCATAGAAGGCGTTTACATTATTACTCATAACTAGCAAAATTGCAGTTATGAAGTAGCTAAGAAATAATTTTATAGTTGGGGGTCCCTACAACATGAGGAACTGTATTAAAGGGCCACAGAATTAGGAAGGTTCAGGGCCACTGTCCCAGGACCATTTGTTCAGGAGTGGCACCACCCATGATTCCCTGGACTTTCCCATATTAATCAGCAATAGACATGCCCACGGGCTTCCTGTTCCCATTGGGGCATCTTGTCTTCAGTGAGCACCAACCAAAGGCTTCATCTCTGCCCAGCACTGAATGCTGAGCTAATCGTCTAGAACAGGACAGAAAAACCTGCCACCACTTGAATAAATAGAATGTCCCTCCCTAGCAACTCTCTGCTTTAGAGGCGGCCTGTCCCCACCACCACAGGTTGATGTTTTCTCTTTCAGAACGAGGTGGCTCATTAAAGGGTGTACAGGCTTTGCATGGGGGCTGGGAGAAATGGAAAGGTAACTGGAATGAAAAGCAGACACCAGAGAGTGTTCCGTGGGCTGCAGGCATTTGTGTTTTGTTTTTGTGTTAGGGAGGTGGAAGAAATGGTGGCAAAGTTATGTTGGAGAAGACTGAACTACACAATGAATTTGTCCTTTAAAAAAATGGAAAGATTGTGCTGGAAAGATTAATTTTTGCAGACTATAGAGGGGACCAAGATACTACAAGTAGTTGAAGAGAACCCTGGTGCGGAGTAGGAGTTCTCTATCCTAGGTGGTGTGTATTGGGGGAGAGGGGAGGTCCAACACTCTTCCTGCTTCCTATAAGACTAGGAATCCCATTCTCCCTCCATGTCACCCTGGAGTCCTTTCTCTGATGCCCTTTGGGGCTACTACTGGTTGTGTCACTATAAGAAACAGACAGTGAAAGCTTCCTGCCACCCACCTACTGCCAAGGCAATACAAACAGCAGCCAATAGCTGAAGAGAAGGACGTGCTAGTATGTGTGCATGCATGCATGTGTGGCATGCTAGTATGTGTGCATGCATGCATGTGTGGCTATGTGTGACTTGTGTGCATGATTATGTGTCAGTGTGTGTGCACGCTTGTGGATCACTTTAAAATTGTGCAAGCAATTGTAACTGGTCACTCCTACTGAGGGGAACTGCCTTTGGGTCACCGTAAGCACATAAATAACCTCTCATCCGTGCTCCTGTATGTAACCCAAGAAACTCCTTGGTTCACCAGGCAAACCTTAGGTAGCGTCATTTCTGTGGTATGTCTTTGGTCCTTACTTGGGGTTTGTTCATGTCTCCCTAGGAAAAGTCTTTACACACTGTATTGGTCTCCATGTCACCATAGCATTGGCATTGCTTTCTAAGCTGAGGTTTGATGCATGTGAGTAGGAAACCAAACCGAGGCAAAAATCAGCTCTAAATGATTAGTGGTTAGTCATGCAAACCCTCACAGAAATAGCGGCTGCCTTGAACCAGCGTGGCATGGGAGCTGAGTGAGCCATCTCATCACAAGGCTTTGTTCATGTTTCTCTTGAACCATCTGCATTGTTCTGCAAGGTCCCCAGGCTGGCCCTCCACAGTATCTATACACACACATGCACGCATGCATGCACGCACGCACGCATGTGCTCGCGCACTTCCCCTTTGGCTCCTGACAAACATTTAAGTAGTTACTAACATTAGACAGGTAACTTGTGCATCCTCCAGCTGACCTCTCCCAGATGCCAGGCTCTGTGGGGATCACAGACCCTGGCTGGAAACCCACCCCTCCATCAGCCTGGGAGCAGGCAGCTGTGAGATAATGTTTACTGAAAACAATTCAGTGCCATAAAGCTCTTGATAGGGCTCCGATAAGGGCTGGCTCACTGAAACACCATGACTTTAATCCCCCCTATGGCTAGATGCTTCTTCCTGCCCCCTGCTGTTTCTCCCCCGATTCTGGGGCTGAAGATTAAACCACCAGCCAGGAGGGTGAGAAGTCTGGGAGAGCTGTGAGAGGTGTGTGAGAGCTTGGTTGGAGAATTGTATGTAGATGGATGGCAGAAGTCCTTAAAAAGGGAAGCGTTTTTTTCTTGGGGAGTTCTCCTAAGCTGACTTGGGGAGCATAAAGTTTTCTCTCTCTCTCTTCTCTCTCTCTCTCTCTCTCTCTCTCTCTCTCTCTCTCTCTCTCTCTCTCTCTCATACCACTGGGAAGTAGGAACTGGGAAGGATATAGTCATAAGGGATTCTTGTAAACAAGCCAAAAAATGGCAATTGCCCTCTTAAATTATGGCATTCATAAGGTTTTAGACTCACACTTGTCTGTACCCAGTGGCAAAAGGCAGATGCTACCAGCTGCTTCTGGAACTCCATGTGGAATACTCAGAACTGTGGGCCTCTTGGTAAGTGGGGCAGATCTGATTCACCACATGAGAAGCCAAGAACTCCCCACGAAGCCAGGCAGCTAAAAGAAACATGAAGGAGACAGGGGCCTAATGTCACTCCAGTGACAGCTTCTTCCAACTACAACATCCTGGTAGTGCCACAGGCTGGGGACCAAGTTCTTTGGGGCATATTTCACATCCAAACCATAGCAACCTATGACAGGCTCCCCACAGGTCTGCAAGAAGTTGAGCTACCAACAAACTAGGAACCATATTCTTAACACCCTGGCTTTCGGACATGTCACATCCAACCCATAGCAACCCAGACAGGATCCCCACTGGTCCACAGAAAGTCAAGCTATCAACTAGATGACCCAGGGACATCTAGTAGGCTCAAATCTGTCTTACGAGCCTTCCAGCCTTGCAGGAATGTTGACGGCAAGCCACATATTCGCCTCTAGGGTTACCCCATCTTTTCC